CAATCAAACGGTTCTTCAACATTAGGTTTTAAACCCTAGCTAGCGCCGGGCGCGGCCAAACCAAAGCCCGAATGACAGCTGCAGCTGTCATTACTTATTATGCATGTCAGTGTCATCGAGTTGCTCTGGGCCCGCCACACTGAAGTTTTATCAAGGTAAAGTCCCAAATTCAATGCAATTGACAACAAAAACAAGAGATAACTTTGCACCATTCTACTAGATTCATGGAGGAGGCCGAGCGGATAACAAACGATGGACCCCCGACGGCCGACCATCTTTGTGTGCTCATTCATGGGTCAGCTGCTGCCTGCGTCCTCGTCTTTCCTTTTGTCGGTGCGCTGACCAGTCAAAGGCTCTGGGGCAACCCAAATCATCTATCCTACCTCGCATCTTCTCTCCGCGACAAACACTCGGAGGAGAAGCTGCATATACTGGTATCGAAGACAAATTCAAACACCTTCACCTACGATGGAATCGATTTGGGAGCCGAGCGGGTAACACAGGAAATCGAGACTTATATCCAAGGCTTGGAGAAGAACGGCAGCGAAATCAAGAAACTCAGTATTGTTGGCTATTCGCTAGGTGGACTAGTTGCGAGATATACCATCGGACTGCTCTACTCAAAAGGCTGGTTCGATAGAATAAAGCCTGTCAACTTTACTACTTTCGCCACGCCTCATCTTGGGGTGAAAACGCCGCTGCTCGGGGTCCAACACACAGTCTTTAATTTTCTAGGATCCCGGACACTGTCAACATCCGGCCGCCAATTGTTCACAATTGACACCTTCCGTGACACAAACCGCCCCATCCTCTCTGTTCTTGCAGACCCTCGGAGCATCTTCATGCTTGCGCTTGCACAATTCAGCCACCGCGTTCTCTACGCGAATATAATCAACGACCGGTCTGCGCCCTATTATACCACGAGTATCTCCGCTACAGACCCTTACACCAACCTTGACGCAGTCTCTATCAATTATCTACCCGACTATGCCCCAAATATCATCGACCCCGTCGATCCCGTTCACTTAAAACCTCCGGAGATTCAGCCACCATTTTTCGCTCGCATTGCAAGCAGCAGCCAGAGTCTCCTTACAAGTGTCCCAGTCTTCGCGCTTCTCTCTGTTATGATACCCGTTGGCTCTGTCGTTTTCCTAATCAATTCAGGTATACAACAAGTTCGAAGCCAAAAGCGCATTCGGCTGCATGAGGAAGGCAAAGCTGGTATAGGCCTAGGAAGCTACAGGATCCCCCTTTTGGTTGAAAATGCGAGAAGTGCAATGGAAGGCGCCTTCGAGAACATGAATGCCAGACAGGGCCAGCAATACCTCCCAGGAACAGCATCCGATGAGAACCATGAAGCCGAACTTTCCGATAAACCGCAGCGAAATGGGCATGCAGAGAAGAATTACCAAGCTGCGTCTCAAACATCATTGGACCTCGAACGCATTTCGTCACGTCGAAGTGAGTTTCCAACCTTAGCCTTGACACCGCAACAGTTTGAAATGGTCCGCGCATTAGACCAGGTGGGCTTTCGAAAATATCGTGTACATATTCACGCAGTCCGGCACACCCATGCAGCGATCATTGTGCGAAACCAGAAGCCTTCGTTGGATGAAGGCAAGATTGTGGTTCGCCATTGGCTCGATGAGGAGTTCGAGATTTGAGTGTTTTACAAGTAGCATTTGCAGTGGGATTGTGATATTAGGGCATTTGGCTGGCGTTGGGCATGTTGGGTTGCTTTGCATACTTGTTAGCGTTATCAAAGTTAAGGTACCTTAGATAATAGATTCGCCAACGAGCTACGAGGCGCCACTTGGCCAAATTTTGGTGTCGAGAGATGCAGAGATGCAATTGTACTTAAATCAAAAATAAAAGTCAGTAAATATGAATTAGATCCTGTGTGGAAAGTGCAGGGCCTTGGATTGAATCAAGCAGTAGAGTAATCTCAGTCTTCACCTTGGTACTCAAGCTGACTGAAGGACGCTCTCAAGCATCACACTTGTGACACAAACCGTTCTTATACCCTTCTATACCATATTTTTTTGCAGCAGCTTCAATTAGAGTCACAGCTTTTTCTCATCACTCGTTGCAACTTTTTTGGGATAGGTAAGCCTCGAAATGTCCGTTGGAGTGATACTTCCTTGGATCAAATCTATCAATGCGGTTCCCCCCAGATTGCGGAGACATGGTGCTGGTTGAATATTTGATGATGTGTGCACCTTCCATCAATTCCCAATGCAACTTCAAACCTATCATACCCTTTCATTTTGGGACTTCAATCCACGTTCTTAAATCAACAAGAAGTCCTCCACCACAGACCCGAGTCCTGTTCCACCAAACGATTCATAAATACCATGATACATTGTTCTCTACATACTTTAAGGCACTCATGCTCTGCTCCTCGACTTTCTGCTATTCCTTTTCCCGTCTTATGGTGCCGATGAATCATCGATCAAGCAGCCATCTGCTATATCATGGAGTGCTGGGCTCATTACACTCGTGAATGCAGGTCTCGGAGTCAAGTCATTACTAAGGAGAGAGACTTGTGTTTGCACTACAAGGATAGGACCTTGTCACTGTCTATGCACAGCACCACAAACAGCATGATTCGGCGAGTACTTCCAAATGGCCGAATTCCACACGGTACGCACAGTTCAGAAACACTCTTCCCCATTTTGTACCAAATCTTGGGCGGCAAGACATGTCTTTGGAGCAAAGCCCTTCTCCTACTCCTGAGATCGATGTCATTAACCCATGTTCTATCCCTTGATTACGCAATGCTGACTCGAAATTGAGGGTAGTCTGCGTTGTCGGCGCTGGAATCTCGGGACTGAGGTGTGCCGAGGTGCTGGCTCAGCAGGGTCTGAAGGTGACGATACTCGAGGGGCGTGACCGCATAGGAGGGCGTGTGAGTTGGTCTCGATGAATCAAGACTGAGTGTAGCTGACAAAGATCAGGTCCACCAGTTCAGTCAACAGGGTCATCTGATTGACTTGTACATCTGCCTCCTCATGGGATATTTGTACCAGGATCACTAACATCAACCAGAGGGCCAAATTGGATTCATGTAAAACATTAACAATGACAAAAAAAGTTTACTCTCAATAAGCTGATTTGTTCTATGAAGGGCACTGACCACAACCCGATTTTGGACCTCGCGGAAGAGACTCATGCCACAACCTTCTCACCTCCTGAAGATGCCAAACCCTCTCTGTACGACGAGTTAGGTCATCTTGTCGAGGGCCAAACGGCAAAGAAGCATTCCGAGCTTGTCTGGGAGATCATATCCAATGCCTTCAGGTATAGCAGGGAGAACGGCCCTTCGATACCACCGCAAAGCTCCCTTATGGACTTCTTTAGGAGTGAAGTGAAGGGGAAGGGATTGAATGATGTTTCCTCCAAGCTAATCCTCCAAATGGCTCGAATGTGGGGAGACTTCGTGGGCGAGCCCATTGAGAAGCAAAGCCTAAGGTGTAAGTCTATTTTTCGGAGTGTTTTGCCCCCAGCGACTACCGCATTGTGAGCCGTAAGACAACGTTTCGAGATTACCGGGACATACTTCACCCGCTCAAATCTCAACTTCGAGAAGGCATGCTGACTCGGAAATCTTGAAGTCTTCTGGCTGGAAGAATGCATCGAAGGCGGTAAGTGGCCATCCTTGTGGCAACCCTTGTGGCAGATGATTCCAAATGTACCGCTACTCACATTGTTCAGAGAATCTCTTCTTGGCAAGCACCTATAAATCAATCCTCGACCTCATTGCCAAAGGCGCATTGGCTAGAGCCGATCTCCAAATCTCCACAAAGGTCACTTCCTTCAAATCGAACATCGAAAGCGGGCAACCGCCCTTGGTCACCATTACCACGGCCTCCAACGACACTCTAAATTTTGACGAAGTGATCGTGACCTGCCCCTTAGGCTGGCTGAAACGTAACGTTACCTCTTTCTCGCCTACGCTTCCCTCTCGGATCACCACAGCCATCGAGCACATTTCCTACGGTCGTCTCGAGAAAGTTTACTTCACCTTTCCCACCGCGTTCTGGCTCTCGTCAAATTCCACAGGTACAGTGACCACATTCTTCTCCCAATTTCTTCCCCCCACGTACGCTTCAGACCAGAATCCAGAACGCTGGACCACGGAATGCGTCTCGCTCGCCTCCCTCCCCGGGTCTTGCGCGCATCCAACACTCCTATTCTACTTCCATGGACCCTGTGCTCAGCACGTCACCTCCCTGATTCAAGGCCTGGATCCAGCCTCCAAGGAATACTTCTCTCGCCTGGACGCCTTCTTCCAACCATACTATTCGCTCCTACCCGATTATTCCTCGTCGTCTCCCGATTGCAAACCCTCCGGGATCTTTGTCACGAATTGGCAGAACGACGAATTGGCAGGATTTGGCTCTTATACGACGTTTCAAGCTAGCGATCCAGCAAAGGATGGGGAGGTGCAGCTGGACAAGGATATCGAGGCGCTGAGGGAGGGCTGCCCGGAGAGAGGTATCTGGTTCGCGGGCGAGCATACGGCCCCATTTGTGGCGTTGGGGACGGTGACGGGGGCGTATTGGAGCGGTGAGGGTGTTGCCAAGAGGGTAGCGGAGGTATATGGGTTAAGCGGTGGGGATGAGAGCAAGCAAGGCTCAACAGGTCAGCCTATGCGTGATGAATTGAACGAAGCATAGTCAGACACCAAGGCATTCAGAACCCTCATATTCGATATTGAGCCCCGATGGAGCACGGAAGGCGTTCAGCGCGAGGAGCGAATGGATGGAGTCAAACGTAGACTTTTGTGCGAGCTATCTTGGAGACGTGAGATGAGACGATGATTATAGACACGCATCCGCCAGCGCCCAAACAAAGCCATGTGCAAGAACAAGATATCATCGTATGCTTCGCTGGTGAAATAAGCCAGTGCCAAGACATAAAGAGACTGCCAACATGTCATATATACGTTTGCTTAAGCACTCATTCTGCCATCGCCAATCCGGACTGAAGAACTCTCTTCAACCCCTGACCAATTCACCCAGTCTTTTCTCCAAAATCTGCTTACCCTCGTACGTCTTCCACACCTCATGCGGCGCCGCATTGACCACATCCCAGCTGATCAATTTATCCGTGATCAGTGTCAGATCTCTCTGCTTCCTCTCCCACTCATCGTCTTTTCTCACGTTGATACCAGAACTCACCACCACGAGTGGGGTCTTGGGGCTCTGGATGTTTCTTGCCTGGCTCACTTCATTCTTCGTAAGGGAATTGGCAACGAGGTTCTCCTGTAGCTTCGCCTTGATATACTTCCCGCCTTGGTATGCCGAACGACCGTAAACCCGATCTTCTGGCTTGCGACCCTTGGCGATGGCACCAAAGAGGCGATCGTACCCTAGTGGAGAGATGATGCCGCGTGCCCAAAGAACGAAGCCTCGACCCGGCTGGCCAATGTTGTGTAGCAGGTCCTCGTGCAGGGCATCAATGAGCATGATGCCAGTAACTTGGCGGACGTGACGGCTAGCGAAGATGCGGCTGTAAATGCCTCCTATGCCTGCCGAGACAAGGATCCACGGTGATTGTTCGCCGGCACGGGCAAGAGCTTCCGAGAGGGCATCCGAGGTCATGCCTGCGGAGTGTGGGGAGGGTGCGTTGTCTGACCAGGCGAGACCCGGGCGGTCGTAGTAGCAGTAGCGGTAGATGGTGCCATTTTTGTAGGCGTCGTAGACCCAGTCGTCGAACGTGTCCTCCACCGGGTTCTCTCCGGCTTCAAGAAGCACGGTGGGATTGCGCTTGCCATCGGCGTTGTATGTCACATTGCCAACACAGGCCAGGTGAAGCTGGTACTTGTCCCCGTCGACGAAGTATCGTTTTCCGGGAGGTGCTAGACCTGCATCGCGGGAGCGTAGGATGAGGGTTGCAGTCAAAAGAATCACAACGACGATCATGACTACCATGATTATAAATTCGGCGAGTACAGCAAGCCATTCACGAACGGTGCGACGGCTCTCCTTGCGTCCCGTGAGGCGCTCTTCCTCTTCCTTCTTTCCCCATGCTACCACTCGATCTGTGAGGACGTTATAGAGTGCAATGAGAGTAGCCCACACGACCGACGCAATGCCGACCCAACCTTCCTCCGCACGTATACGAGGAACGGCAACAATGATGATCATGTCGATCAGCAGGAAAGCTGCCACGATAAGACTGCCCACTTGCATGGCTTTGGAAGGCGTAGAGAAGAAGAGTATGGCGACAAGAAGGTTGCCAAGAGTGAGAGTGGTGTATGAGAAATCGAAGAAGCCGGAGCCACGAGAATGCATCATCGGCGGGCTGACGAAGATTGAGACCAGGAGTAGCACCCACCAGAGGAAGCTGATGAGAGCGAAGAGGACGGAAAAGTAGCGGAGAGCTCGGACGCTCCAAAGATTATATGGGGATACCTGATAAGCTGTCAGTACAATGCCTTCCAACCCTTTTCGCAAGACATACAGCTGGGTCATCTGGGTCAAGGAATCCATCGTTTCGAGGGGGCAATAAACGAGTCCTCTCATCTGGTTCACGCCCTCCGGAGCGACGAGTCTGCTGGTTACTATCGTCACCACTCTGTTCAGCATCATCGCCCTCGTCACGCTCCTCTCCATTCTTGGAACCCCACAGTGAAACCATGTTCGTCTACGACAAGCAATCTTCGTTGCCAGTGTCGAACGAGGCTTGGTTGGAAAGTGGGCAGGAAGTTTGCCTAGGTCGTGTAGAAGCGGCCTGTTACGAGTAGGTCGAGTCAGTCAAGCAGGAAAGATTAAGCTGTAGAATCAAGGACTAGATAACAACTTACCAGGCTTTTTTTTTTGTTTGTTTTGTTTTTTGTTTTTTGTTTTATGTCTGAGAGGAATGGCTATACAGCAAAATAGGGATATAGACAAGAGATGGATGGAGGGAGTATGGTAGGAGAATGATGGTGGTTGTGAAAGGGTTAGAGGAGGTACCTAGTGGTAGCAGGCAGAGGAATTAGGAGTACTTCTGTAGTTACACGTGAAACAGAGGCGGGGGGATTTCCTTCTTTTTCCTGTGTGTCATGACCTTGTCCGCCCGTCATCGTGCAGATCTCTCTGGGCTTAGGCTTGGCTTGGCGCTTGGCTTGGGGCTTGGCTTTACTTTAGGCTTGGCTTGGCTTGGCTTCAGGCTTGGCTTCGATCAATCTACGATAACATAACAGATTAAGTGCAATCTCACATCTACCAGTACTTCAATACTTCAATGATACTTCATGCACAACACCCTTAGGTCAATGCTCTTCTATTCGTCACGTCTGAACGAAACAATCAATGATAAGCTACAATCGATTATCATGAGTGACCTCCAACGTTCTTTTGCCAAAGCAAAGCTTGCCGCTTTACCATTCGAACCGCCCCTTCTCCTTTCTCCTGAAGAAGACGAAGAGAAGGATCAAGATGATGAATATGGCGATTTGAGACCATCACCAGATGCTGCTCAAGACGATGACTCCTCATCTTCCGCATCCTCGGCTTCATCTACGGGTACGATAATACCCTCTCCGAGTAAGAATCTTTTTGCTAGGCCCAAGTAACCCCCCCCTTTTTCTTTCCCATTGGCCATGCAAACTCTGGGCCTGCATCCTGCTTCCTCTTATCTCATCTGCCCTTCATCCTCTCCGCATGAGACTGTGTAATTTCATTATAGACACGAGCACTTTCAATGTCAAAGTCGTTGTCTAAATACTTTCCTTGATTGCAGGTTTTCCGCTGGTAGAAGGACGCTAGAGCCACTTCCTTGGAATGACTACTTCACTCGAGAGCTCTATTTGAAAGTCTCTCGTCCCACAGAGAATGTCACATATCATGCATATATAATACCACCTACGGCTAATGGCCCTCTCCTGGTAACCCATCACGGAGCCGGCTCCTCAGGTTTATCATTTGCTCTTTTCGCTGTTCAGGTGCGGAAAGTTCTTCCAAACGCTGGTGTACTGTCTCTTGATGCTCGAGGTCATGGGGAGACCGTTATTGAGCAGCTTGATAGGCCAAGCAACAATACCGATCTCGACCTTAGTCTAGAGATCTTAAGTCAAGACCTGCTGGATGTCATACACGTGACCCAAACGCAGATGGCGTGGCCGGAGTTACCTGGCCTAGTCTTGATCGGCCACAGTCTCGGTGGGGCTGTGGTGACAAATGTAGCCGTGAACGGAGAGCTTGGTAATGCGGTTTTAGGCTATGCTGTTCTGGACGTTGTTGAAGGTATGGTTTTCAAAGACGTCGCCTCGATTTTGATAATCATGTCTGACGTTCCCATGGTGCAGGGTCTGCGATCGATGCACTGCAAAGTATGCAGTCCTATCTGTCCACCAGACCGAAGACGTTCCCCTCCATCACTTCGGCTATCGAATGGCAGTAAGTAGTCTCTAAATTCCATAGTCGTCTTCTGTCAGCACTGATGTTCTGACCCCAACAAGTACACGCTCTCGCACAATCCGCAACAGTACATCTGCACGCATCTCTGTCCCGTCTCTTCTTCGTCGTGATCCTTCAAACGCATCTCATCAATGGACCTGGCGGACGGACCTCGCAGCCACCCAGCCCTACTGGGAAGGCTGGTTTGCTGGCCTCAGCCGAAAGTTCTTGGATGCAAAGGGTGGAAAGCTGCTTCTGCTTGCTGGCACTGATAGATTAGACAAGGAATTAATGATTGGGCAAATGCAAGGGAAATACCAATTGCAAGTATTTCCCGAAGCGGGCCATTTCGTTCATGAAGATCAAGCCGAGAAAACCGCAATGATAGTTGCAGATTTCTATCGCAGAAACGATAGAAGTGCGTTGGTGCTGCCGCCGAAAGTGGGAGCAATGTCGCAACCGAAAACTTTAGCTTGATACTCTAATCCAAATGATATTTACAAGACACCACACGCGTTGCTTGTTGCTAACCATGTAGACAGGATGTACACTAATGAATTCACTGAGCCTGCTGAAGTCTCTCCCCTAGTCGATAGCCCAGTGTTCTTCCTGCAACAGCGGCAACAGCTGCAGCGCCTGAAGCAGTGGATTCACCAGAAGTATCCGCAGTGAGCCACTGCGAGCGGATAGTATCGATGACACGTACATTTGCGATGACTGCCTGGCCGGTGATGAAGGGATCCAAGGGGTGTTGATCTCGCGGCTCAGTGCTTTCGTCAGATTCAAGTAATTCATCTCGCTCTCTGTCCTCATCGCCTCCTGTTCGACCAGACGAAGTATGCCGTATATCTTGGAGCTCAATTTCGTCCTGAACGGTGTCGTCCCGCCTCAGCATTCCTCTTTCCTCCGAATCATGATCCTGTCTCGCTTCTTCAACCTCTTCTACCAAAACGTCTCCGTTTTCAACTGCAAGTTTCTTCCTCTCAAGTGTAACGGCCAAGATTAGGACCTGCAGAGCTAAAACCAATGTATCCAGAACCAGTAATTTCCATTTGCTGACCGGACTCTCCTGGCCCACAAAGTCAATCAATAGTCCGCCGAGTAAATAGCCCCTCGTGGCTTCCCCGGCAGCTGGCGGTCTCAACAGGAGATGTAAAATGATGCAGACAATGTTGTTGCCAAAGATCATGCCGATGTAGGGACGGTGTGTGGGCGACGGCGGCGGAAATATGGAAGGCTTAGGGGTAAAATAGAACCAGTGCGGTAAAGCACGCAAAAGGAATTTGAAGAGCGAGATACTGTGGATCATGTTAGCGCATCCACGGAGGTCAGATACAGATTGCTCTGAGTATAGGAGGACACACTCCATATAATAGAGGATTGACAGTTGGCAGTAGAAGATGATATCAATGTTCCGGATGAGATGATCTAAGAACGCCGCCTTCTGCTCTCGCTGTCTGCGTCGCTTCCGCTGCACGGAGTCGTCATCATTATTTGCAGCCACGGCGGCGGCGGCGGAGGCTATCCCATGAGCGTTCGAGGCGTCGTCGTTAAGGTCATGAGGGGCGTGGTCTGAGGCTGAAGGGGAGGCATCATTCATGTCTCATAAGTCAGACATTGGTCCCGATCTCGAAGCAAAGGCTGTGCAACGAGCTTAATCTGTGTAGGCAGCAAAGGCCAATTTCACATGTATTGTACAATGATTATACACAATAAGTAGAGACCATTGTGACTTCCTAAACCTTCCATTCAATGCTGATGGATATGACGCCGCACTACTCGTATTTACCCAAAGTACCAATCTCCCCAGCGCTTCAACGTTCTATAATCAGTCCCCGGTCTTCAAGTTCGAAGACAATCTTTTGCATACGAAGCTGTTGAGGGTATGGAACTTAATATCTTAACCAGCAGGAATGTCTTGCCAAAATCGTTCATTGAGAAGGTGTCCTCAAGGCAGTCTGGTAATATTGAAACAAACTACTGATAGTTGCACCAATGATTAAATACGACTACTTTAGCCTGTGGAAAGAAGCATTTGCCATTCACTTGGCGCGCTCGCGTCTATCAAAGCGCGTTTTCTCCGCATAGCAATTTATTAATCCGGCATCTCCTCCGCCTTTGATTACTTCAACAGACAGTCCGCCTTCCTATCCTTAAAAAATTATGGCAAATTTCTTCGACAACAAGGCTCGTGCAGCCGCTGTCGCCGCAACCAATGGAGCCTCTTCATCCAAATCCGCAGCCCCCAAAGAGTCCCAGAATCTGCAACCTTGGGTGGAGAAGTAGTATGTTGAACGTCTTCCTGAGGTGCTCGCAGAATCGTTGCTGATCTCTGACAGCCGTCCAAAGAGTCTGAACGATGTTACAGCCCAGGATCACACAATCACTGTTCTACAACGAACATTACAAGCTTCCAATGTATGGGATCAAGCAACGGATTTTATTCCGACTGACCAGAGCCGGTAGTTACCCCACATGCTGTTTTATGGCCCTCCAGGAACAGGCAAAACGTCCACAATTCTCGCCCTCGCAAAAGAGCTCTACGGCCCCGAAATGTTCAGGACCCGCGTGCTTGAGCTCAATGCCTCCGATGAACGCGGTATCTCAATAGTGCGAGAAAAGGTTAAAGATTTTGCCAGAATGCAGCTCTCAAACCCACCTCCACATTATAAGGATCGTTACCCGTGTCCGCCGTACAAGATTATCATTCTGGACGAGGCAGATAGCATGACGCAAGACGCTCAGAGCGCGCTGAGAAGGACAATGGAGACGTACAGTAAGATCACAAGATTCTGTTTGATTTGCAATTACGTCACAAGAATCATTGATCCGTTGGCAAGTAGATGCAGCAAGTTTCGTTTCAAGATGCTCGATCAAGGAAATGCCAAGAAGAGGCTGGAAGACATTGCTGAAAACGAGAATGTCAAATTGGAGGATGGCGCCGTCGACAAGCTGATCAAATGCAGCGAGGGAGATCTTAGAAAGGCGATCACTTTCCTCCAGAGTGCAGCAAGATTAGTGGGCGCTGTGAAGACGTCGCATTCGAGATCGAATGGAAACTCGAAGAAGAGAGTTCTTGAAGATGAAGATGACGAGGATGAGGACGCCATGGAGGTGGACGGAGTTGATGAGTCAATGGTCACCATCAAGAATATTGAAGAAATAGCTGGCGTCATTCCGAACGACGTCATTGACGGATTGATTCAAGCCATGCAGCCAAGGTCGAAGGGAGCCGTGTACGAAGCTGTAGCTAAACAA